AGATTGAAAATGATTTTCCACTTCGGTAGTAATAAAGATCCCCCCCCCTCCTCCTCTTCCACAAATATTCATTTTGGAAGGGGAGGAAATTTTTTTTTCATCACGCTGTGACGAAAAGTGAACTTTTCGGCACGCTCCGCGTGCCTAAAAGTCCAATTTCCGCCACATTGTGATGAAAAATATTGTTCGTAACTCGTGAAGAAATGTTTTTTAGCTCGTGGGATTATACCACTTGCCTTCGGCTCGTGATATAAACCTCCCACTCGCCAAAAAACACTTTTTTGCACTCGTTACGAAATATACTATTTTACCAACGAAGTAAAAAATCATGTTTATCCTCGTAAACTTTACTCGTGTCAAATTAAATTTTACTTTTATACCAGCACTTACTACGGTACCGATTTTAATGTTTTAGTATGTTTAACAGTATCATTATGTGTCAATTTTGTCCCCCATATTTTTTCATCCAGCACGTGGTACTTTTCATTTGTTCGCAAAATTACAATGTTAAACAGTGAATGTTCGAAAGTGGTGGTATGGTCCTCCATTCGATTTCTCCTATTAAAAATTGTGTTTCCACAGTAAAATTGTACTTTCAGTCGTGTGACGAACAATTTTTTGTCATAACGGCCGTAGGCAGGGATTCATGGATGCGTAGCGTCCGCGAAGTTCTGCATTACGGCCGGAATGACAAAATAGTATATTTCGATGCGAGTGAAATGGAATTTTCACGAGTGTGAAGTTGGCGGCCAGAGGCGAAGCCAAGGGCTGCCAATCACCCGAGCTTAAGGGGTCTCCTCAGTAGTTAACGAATAACTAATAGTTAACGAATACTTCACATGAAAAGTGAAAGTCGAATCAAACCAAGCTCCTCAAATATGCATTTGTTAACTATTAACGAATGAACATTTGGTGAGAACGAAGAGACCCTCATCGCCAACCAAATTCATTTGTTAACAATAACTAATCCTTTTTATCGGTGCATGCATTTAAAAGTCCATCATCGAAATTTAATAATTTTTGTACAGCTGAATTCCCGATTCTTCTTTCTACATCCCTCTGGAAGTTGTAAGCGAGGTGCTGATGTCACCCTGTATTCATTTTTCCATTGAAAATTCAAGGAAACCGGGGAATGATCGTCTGTCTGCTACTCAAGAATTTGAAATTTCATCGAATTTTCAGTGAAATTTTAAATTTAATGATTTTTAATCCCCCCTAGGGCGACACAATGTCACTCTCTTGAAAATGACAAGTCAAATTCAGAAGTCAACGTGAAATGTAATTTTTTTTTCTAACAGTGTAGTTATTTCGATTAGTTTGACATCATATGAAATTCAGTAAAAAAATTATTATAGAATTTCAAGATATAGGTGGAATTCATGAATTTCAGTAGAAGTTAGACAGAAATTCCGCAAGTTACTTCAACATTCACCTGAAATTCTGGGATTTTTCTGCGTTTAATTTCACAGTATAATTGAACTGAGATTGAAACCGAATCATCCGAAACTCAACGGAATACTTGATTTTTCCGTAATGATTTCCTCAAATGTTAGTGGAACTTCAACGTGATGAAAATTTTTGGGTTAGATACGGAAACTTCGGATAAAAACTTTGAACGATTTCTTGATTCAAGAAATTCTTACTTCATTATGGATGGGGGGATGAACAGATCGCTAAAAATCAAAACTTTTTTTCCTGTGTACTGGGGCGCACAGAGAAAAAAGTTGAAGAAAAATTACTAAGCAAGTCAAGTAATCACGGAGCGATATCCATTGCTAGGACACTTTTACCCTATATCGGGGAAAAAAGGCAAATCATACGCGCTAGAAAAGTTTTTATCGGTCATATGACGAACGATATTTTTTGTTGTGATGACCGGAGTGACAAAAAAATTTTTTTTTTTAATTGGCATTTCGCTACACGATTACATTTCCGTATGGTAAAATTTTACGAATTTTATAGATATTCTGATCCAACTTTTCTCTCCGTGAAGACGTTTTAGTCTCAATTCTCCTCCCTTTCCAATGACATCTCTTACAATTCTTAATCTCGTCAAGTTTTCCGACGACCTTCAATCTCGACAAGTTTTCAAACAAGAATAATTGTTCTTAATTCAAGAATAATCATTCTTGTTTGGAAAGTTATCAAGATTGAGAGTTGTACCTCCATCGACACGGCAGGAAAATTGAATTCTGAATCGGAGAAAGGGACGACCTATTGTTCCCCGCTAATTTGCAAGATATTGCATAGAAGAATCTCATCAGATGAAAAGTTTTTCCATCTGCATCTCAATAATGGTGAGAAAATACAGATCCATTTTGGTGGTAACGGATTTTTGGATTCAAAAAAATTCATTTCTCATAGGAGTCTCAAGCGAATTGCAATATTTTTTCTGTGAGAATGAGAAATTTTCAAAGTAATTCGCTCGAGTTTCCTTCAATGAATGGTCATAACGATATTTTACTATTGATTTTCAATATTCTTTCTTCTCTGAAGAATCTTTTGATTTCTCTCAATCTTGTAAACTTTGAAAATTTTTGAGATTCATGTGACAGTCGCATTGAAACTTCCAATCGTGTGAGCTTGAACTCAATTCGAGATCAAATCATCCCCCAATTTCCTTATTCATTTTGATAATTCAGTCAAACCAAGTACTCAAACCAATTAGTTGTCTCACTGAATATTCCATAATTAGATTATTCTTTAGTTATAACTTATATGGGAATTTCATGTAAATGATTTCTTAAAAATGTCAACATTTTTTACTCCAAACTTTCACCCCATTCATCAAAAAATGTTTGCAACGAGAATTTTTTGATCCTGAAAATTTGTTCTTCCGTCCAATATTGTTTCCATTTCCATCAGGACCTCAATCAACGAGAATTACCCTCGAGTAACTTTTCCTTTTTCTCTGAAGAGTTTTTTGAGTTGTTTCAATCTTCCAAACCCTTTGAGAAGTTTTTTGAGATTTATGTGACGGTCGCATTGAAACTTTCAATATTGTAAGTTTGAACTCAATTCTAAATCAAATCTCCCCCGAATTTCCCTATTCATCTTGATAATTCATTCACAATGAGATCAAATTACATCACATTGAATTGAATTTTCAATAGACTGAGAACTCGAAACAATAGTTGTCTCACAGAATATTCCATAATTTAAATTATTTTTTAATTACAAATTGTATGGGAATTTCATGTTAATTTTTATTAAAAATGTCAACATTTTTTACTCCAAATGTTCTTCTCTGAAGAATCTTTTGATTTGTTTCAGTCTCCTAAACTCTGAAATTTCTCGAGAGTTATGGGACATTCGCATTAAAACTTTCAATATCGTGAGTTTGAACTCAATGCTTGATCAAATCTTCCCCCAATTTCCTTATTTATCTTGATAATTCAGTGAAATCAAATTACACCACATTGAATTGAATTGTCAGTAGATTGAGAACTCAAAGCAATAGTTGCCTCGCTGAATTTTCCATAATTTAAACGATTCTTTAGCCACAAGATATTAGAATTTTATGTAAATTATTTCTTTAGGATATCTAAGTATCTTTTTAACTTTGATACAGACCACTCTATAGATTCAGCCATTTTCAATTATCAAAGTTCTCAATTAAATTGCCTGAGAAAAAATTGAAAAATCATGAATACTCAGCGTCATTCAAATTATATTTGGCACAGAATTATTATTTTTGTAAACATTCGTGCTTTACAAATAAATAATTGAAATTGTTTAAACTATTGCAAACCTTATTTTTTAGGCTTGAAATAGATTTTTGTTAAAATTCTGAATATGAATAAATTTGTTCTGATTCCGAACAATGAATTTTATGGTGGAAAATTGATTGTTTATAAACTATTTCTAGCAAATGCTCTTTATTTTCATTAAATTCAATTTTTTAATCATTTTATCGATCTTCCTCCAAAACTTAACATCCTAATTTTTATTCAGATTTATAAAATGTTTTCAAATGATTCAATATTGAGATTCAAATTCATACCTGCAAAGTTTAAATAATAAAATCATTGTAAAATCGCCAAAAACTTAGGGTCAAATGGGGCTCAAATGAAAGCTCTGATGTTCAACTACAAAAGTACAAATGCATACCACTTAGATATCCTTACAAATGTCAACATTTTTTGTTCCAAATTTTCACCCCATTCATAAGAAAAATTTGCCACGACAATTTTTTAATCCTAAAAATTCGTTCTTCCGTTCAATATCATTTTCAATTCCGTCAAGATCTCAATCAGCAATAATTTTCCTCCGATAACTCCCAATAACCTCAACTCAAAAAATTAATGACAATATTTACCCCTTGTGTACATTCAGAAACCGCCATTTGAATCTACATACCATGCACATTGGAATAACAACGGAAAATACTGGAGAAAAAGACTAGAAGAATGGTGGGGAATTCTATCGATCTGCGGTAAACTCGGATCGAAACGATATTATAAGCCTATAGTAGAACTAGCCACTACAGCATGGGAATACATCGCTAACTTATGCATCTAGTATTACCGATGTGTGGCTTTCAGTGGAACTTGGGTGACTCTTTTCATCGAACGCACCGACCCCTGGCCATTCTTCCTATTTTATTAATGCTCCCTCAAAGGATCTCGACGCAAAATTTCGATCCACTGTTCATTCTTGCATGAGTATTTCAAATCATCGAGACTCCCTATATTCATCGAACTGACATCATGACCAAACGATTCAAAAGCCAAAAGCTCAATTCAGTAGCAAAGTGGTAAAACGGTATAAGTCAATTTTGACTATTGACCAGTTTTCAATAAATATCTCGCAATCTAAGGGAGATGGTAAAATTTTTGTTACAACCTTTTTTGTAGAGCCGATTGAGAGCTATAACAAATGTAATTACAAAAATTTCGCTATCTCCGTTAGATTCGGAAATATTCCTCAAAAACTCAACTGCGAGATAAGTCGACTTAAACCTGTTTACCATTTCGCTACTGAATTATTCCCTTTCTTACCCGTCTCGTTGCAGAAAAATAACCAAAACAAAATCAATCACTCCGATAAGATCTCACTCATCCCCCCCCCCCCCCCNCAATGAAAGAGATAAAAATCCCCCGGCAAAATTAAATTAATCGACTTCCACTTGTGAACATTATTTCTCCCCTTCTTGATGGTGCCTACAGAGTTGGATCTTCCAGCGGAGACGTAACTCCCGTCGGGTTTAGGGTCGCGCAACGCACTGGACTTGGATATCGGCGCGCTTCCAACATCAACCCTCTCGAGGATATATCTCTGTGTAGGGCCTACTGTGTTGGCGCGCGCGCACCCACACATCTCCAAACATAGCTTTTACACCCCCGATATTGCCCAGTGACACTTTGCTGTACAGTGGTAAGGTACCCCACATTTTATCCTAGCACATTTTGCCACCCCTTCGCCCCCCACTGCCTCCGCTGCTTTCATACCCCATCGTGGCAGTCGTATTTACAGTTGAAAAAACCAAAATCCAAGGGGTGACAATCAATTTACTTTAACGACCGGAGGGGTACGGATGAAATGAAAGAAGGAGTGAACATGGGGGGCTCTGATTTACAAACATCAGAGTCATTACCGAGAGAATTTGATTCTTAAGGGATGCCGAAGACAATAGCACCCAAAAGTTAGTCCCTATGGGTTTCCGGAAAAATTCTAAATCACGTAATTTATTGCATTCTCATAGAGCAATTCCACATCAAATCCGTAATGACAAAAATGTCATGTTTCCGATCGTCTTGCCGATTTTTTTCAAAAGGAGTACATGAGACCAAGCTCTCATAAAATTTTCAAAGCGATTCCATTTTTTGTCAGCGAGTTATGATTTTTCAAAAAATTTCACTTTTTCACTTGAATTTTGATTTTTTAAGAAGGTGAAATAATTGAATTTAATCGGTAGGAATCGAATTTTCGTTTTCACACTTTTGAAGGTAATTGAAAAAACTTCAAAATGAGCGCAATTGAACTCAATTTGTTCCATTTTTGAAGCTGTTATCGGGAAATCAATCTGCAATTACTCGAAAACTTTATTATTTCAATCTGAAATTTTAGGAGTAATTTGGTAATCTAATTGCCAACATTTAGTAATTGCAGATTTGACAACAAAATTGATTTTGCCATAACGCCTCGAAAAATTGAATAAATTGAGTTCAGATAATTCTGAAGACAATCGGAAAGATGAATTTTTTTTCATTTTGCATTTGACGTAGAATTGCTCTATAAGTTATTGAGATTTCGATCCTTGCGTGTTTTTAATGCAGGCAACAATAACTATTTGAATCAAATAAGAAATTCTTTCAAGAAATTTCCATTTTTTAGAGCTGAATATCGCAGAAACTACGTAGTATTAAATTTTACAAACAATTCATCGGATTTGGAATTTATCAGTCTATCACGGATTAGCTTTTTAAGAACATATCCTTATGAAAGTCGACTAGTAATTTTCAGGAGAGTGACGTTGAATGCTGAAATTGAAATTTGTACATTGATAGTGTTGAAAGTCTCAAGTTGCGACTTTGGAAGGTCTTAATTTAAGACTTTTGAAGGTTTCAAGATGGCACTTTTGAATGCACAGAGAGAAATGTTCAGTAAAAATTATGGAACTCACCGATTACAGAATCGACTCAGAAAATTTAAGTGACAGAATCGCAATTTTTCACACGATATTCAGATAAAAATTACCGAACACTCCGGAACAATTCCGTGACAGTTCCGTAAAATTTCCTACAACCACATTTCGCTCCGGAATTACGGAAAACATACGTAATTTTTATTGAATATTCCTGTCCGTGTGCCTCAACTTAAAACTTTCGGAACTCAACTTGAAATTTTTCTTTAAGAAAATTCGGAAAGTCTCAACTTGAGACTTGGAAGTCTCAATGTGAGATCATAAGTCTCAAAATAGAGACTTGTCTCAAAATAGAGATTGTTGTTTTCGTTGCACGACTAAATTAATAAAATGGAACAGTGAAACTTTGAATGCACCAATTACCCAAATTTCTAAAAATACCTAACAATAAAACTTGTCATTATGAAACCATCAAATTTTCTACTGCCGCGAGAGGAATTTACTGGCACTCCGCGTCTCGATGCCCCCCAGCACTGGCCTTTTCTCTTCGCGTTGCAGTTGATTGCATAAATGTTTTCCGCCTGTTACCAGAAGAAATTACCAATTAAAACAATGATCGATCGCGCCAACACATCATGAGAACGCTTCGAAGTGGAGTGGGTCGCGTATTAGTCAGCCACCGCTCCGTCCGTCTCCTTCAATGAAATTGCTATCGAAAAAAAATCCATAATGCTCCGGTGATTTTAAATGCCGACAAACAAACGATTAAAATTGAATTCTGCGCATTAAAAATAGACAGCAGCGGATAATTTCCAGGGAAATGAGATCGAGCCGATAGTGCCATCTGTGGTATTACCATCGATATTCCCTCTCCCTCTCACTCTCCTCTCCCTCCTCCTCTCACTCTTCTCGTCTGCCGTCACCTCATCCTCACAAACTCCCAAAGAAAAGGAAACTTAGAACAATGTAAACTGTGAAGCGAGTCTCGAGAGGACTTTTTAAGAATGAAAAGGAAAGAAGGAAAGGAAACCTCCAAGCACATCCGAGTGGAAGCGTGTAACATCACATGCTAGTCTCTTGCAGGCGAAAAAATACACTCGAATTAAATACAAGAATAAAATATGCTTGATTCAAGTATATTTTATACTCAATTGGGGAATGGGTATTTCAAATCGAAGATGATTCTTTTTTATCAGGCTGGGTTCTACACTATTAGAAATTTAAGTAACAGACGCATTTGAATTTTCAGTATTCAGAACTTGAATTCAGTTTTAGATTGAATTGCTCATGGAATTCCTGGTTCATCGTGGAAATTAAATAAAATGAGATTTTTCGGGATGAATGATCCTTGAATTTTCACTGACAATTTGGATTTTCACACTTCTCGCGAAAATTAAGCATTACGTTCAATTGAATTTTTGAGAGATTTAAAATTCAGAAAAAAAGTTGCTTGAATTTTCACGATTTTTCGTAATTTTCATTGTCGTATGAACCTGAGAAATCAAATTTCATTGATTATTTTTCCCAATCGCATTTCGACCAATCAGAGCGCAGTATTTGAGGCTAACCGACAGTTTTATTTCGGATATTTCCTCCTAGCTTTTGAATATTTCACAGTAGTTCTTCATTTTTTTACCTGAATATCTGGCAGTAACTCTTCATTGTTTTGGCTCATTTCAAATAGAATTTTATATTTGACAGTCTATGGAAATCGGGATATTCCATTAACATAATTTGTTCAAATCTTCCCCAATTCACCTCCTGATGTTGTCCACTGCATTCTGCTTGGCCAAAACCCGATTGGGAAAAATATAATCCGACGAATACCCCTCGAGATTCAAAATTAATCAGGTATTTCCCTCAAGCTCCCCTGCAAACAAACCATCGTTCCAAGTTTTGCTGAAAAATCCCTCGCGCAAGCGCTCGGGATTTTTTTACCTACACCACTTGACACCCTCATTTTTTTTCAACGAAGCTATCAGGAAATACCCGATAACTTTGAGGCCTTTGGGGTATTACTACTGAATATTCAAAAAATTGACTGATTTATCAATAACAAGATCAATGGAAATTCCATGTAAACTATTTGTTGCTAAAAATTTCAAGATTTTTTACTTGAAATTTCAAGAGTAATTTTCTGACAGTGTAGCAAGCCCTCTTAAGTGTAATATAAGAGGTAGGCACTAAGTGTCAGAATATCAGGGTCAAAAAGTGGAGGTCAAAACATTAGGGTTAGAATATAAAAGTAAAAAAACTGGGTGTCCGGCAATCAAGGTCTAAATATATGTCATATATTATGTTTGATCACCGCTTTTAGCCCTTATATGACCCTAATTTTTTTATCCCAACATTCTGACCCTCATCCCTTGACCTTTATATTTAAGCCCTCAGTTTTTGACTTAACACTCCGACCCTCATTTTTTAACCTCCACTTTTTGACCCTCATACTCTCACACTTAGTGCCTGACCCTTATATTACACTCGAGAACACTTGGAACAACCCGGGCTGATACGAAATAATCATCCTCGAACTGAAATACCCATCCTCCATTCGAGTATAAAATATACTTGAGTCAAGTATATTTTTTTCCGCGTGGTTTTCCTTCTTCACACCGAACTCGAGAGGAGAAAGACCGTGAGAACTAGAAGGATGAATGGTTGCGGTTAGGGTTTGCCGGGTGGCGGGGGGGGGGGGGGGAGAAGGGG